TGGGTTGGTGTGATTATAAACCCCCGGATGAATCAGTGACACTCCCCTCAATGAAGCCCCTCCACTGTTAATTCGCATCCAATCCGGTCGGCGCCCCACGCCGCTCACATACCGAATGACGACCGAAATCAACTGTTTCCCTGTCCAGAGTGGCCGGGGCCATAAGATCGCCGGCAGAGGAATAAGCTCAGAAAGTGTGATTTCGTGTTGCTGGCGCAAGTAGGGTGCCAGCCCATAGTAAGTAAGTTGAACAAAGGTGGCATGCTCAAGAAACTTGTCACGCAATGTTAACAGGACACCAGCCGCAATATGATCCTGAATAAGTCCCCGAATCGGTTTCCCGGAGGTGGGGACGAGGTAGTTCAGATTGGCATCCATCAGGACGTCTAATTCCACCTTCGCCTCCAGGCTCTGCGGGACGTGAATATTCATCTCATCGCCGTCAAAATCGGCATTAAAGGAGTTGCCATTCACGTAGTGAAAGCGAAGTGTCTTGTGTCCAGAAAGCACCTTGACTTGGTACCCCATCATACTTGGCTTGTGCAATGTCGGGTGACGGTTAAACACCACCCGGTCGCCATCCAAGATATGACGGTACACAATCAGTGTGACGCCACTTTGCGCCATGGCAAAGTACCTGGCAGCGTGTTGCCGCCGTGTTTGCTCAGGCACGTCAAGCTCAATAAACCGAATTTCTCCATTCGTTTGTCGAATCTCAAGGTGAGTGGCACCGGGGTAGCGACGCGGCCCGTTGATGACGCAACGCTTCAAAAGATTCATGCGGGCAGAGGCGTAAAATGTCACTTGTTCAGGAAAAGACAAATTTCGGGCAAATGGTCGGGGCAGCAAGACTTCGTTCGGCTCCACCATTAAATCTGGGGAGATAACGGAGCGACAGGCCTGATTCACACGCTTCCCCATCATATTCATACGGAACAAACCCTCCTTCTTAGCAAATGTCCCCATGATTTCTTGGTACACCTCATTCACCTTCACCTGCAGGTTACGTAGGTTGATCTCATTTGCAATTTCTTGCGCGGTGGAGAGGAGGTTTCGGTCCGGTGTGGAGTTGTTCTGCAGTACCTGGTAACACTCAATTTGCTCCACAAATCCAAGGACACTAGAGAGAGCACGTGTCTGTGGATCTGGGGAGATGGCACCGCCATCTTGTACCTGCACACCGGATGAAATGCGTAACGGCAATGGCGGGACGAGAATGCGGTCTATAAAGAATGCCTTGTACATATCCCGTGCAGGCAGTGGTGTGGTGTGTGGTGTGATAACGGAGGGTTCACCCAGGTGTGGAAACAACATGCCAAGAAGGAGTTCCTCGCGCTGGCAAAGTTGTTTCAGGTGCTCACGGATGTCTTGATTACAAAAATACGTATGAGTTCTTTTATGCAGCTTGTTGTTCTCCTCCCACTCCTGCAATTGCGTCTGAGTGAGAAGGGCGTTCGCGACATTCACCGACGCGCTGTTCTTTCTAAAGAAAAAGAAAAAGTGTCCATTTCGTTTTGTAATGCGTGGAGAGATACCATTACAGTGGGAGCAGACGCCAACGTGCTCCTTCAACTCGCGCAGTGCTTGTCGGGCAATGCCGTTACGGACATCAATCGCCCCCTTCCTCCCGTGCTCTGTTTCTGTTGACGCCTCACCCGCCGCGGCAGAGGTGTGTGCATGTCGACTCAGAATGCGCTCCGTATGTTCCTGCAGAAGTGTGACATCGTTGATAACCTCCTCATTTGCCGTGTGCAGACGCCGGTGTCGCGTGTCGTACCCCCTCGCGTTGCTAACGACATCTAAAAGATGCAGCGCTTCGCCAATAAGACCGCGATCAACAAGCCGCAACGCCTGACGGTATCGCTCCACATCGAGAGACGGGGCACGAAACCGGTGACAGAAGAAGCACTTCGCCTGCAGCAGCTGTTCAGCCTCTTCCACAAGGTGTGGGTTCATCACAGACATGCGCTCCTCGCCCCGCAACGCGTCGCCAGGGTGTAGCCGCGGCATGCCGATAAAACCAAAGTGCCCCTGGCAGCGCTCGTTGCCGTACTTCCCTGTAAGGCTCGCCGCGCAAGTCTGACAGGAGTGTGGCGGAAATGTGCGCACGTCAAAGTTCCCCATTCGCGTGTCGTAAAACGTGGCGTGTTCCTCGCCATTTCGCACTACCGGCCGCCATGGAGCCGTTTTGTCCTCCTGCCCACATCGTGTGCGCACCTCAACAAAAGCCATGCGGGCCATGTCCTCTGGTGTGAGCAACGAGAGGGAGACGGCCACCTTCTCTTGCACCACGCGGCGTGTCCTAAGATCGCCGACATACGCGTGAAATGGAAAAGCGGTGATGAGGGACATGAGCAGATGGCAAAATAAACTAAAATTCGGCCAATGTTTCCTTTGATGAGCCCTCCCCTTTCACTCCTTTCTTTTCCCCCCTTCCTTCCACAGGCCCTAATATCTCCCTTTTCCTTTCTTACTTTGCCTTTCCCCCGTGCCACGGGGCTTACCGCTGCTGCTTCTGCTGCTCTGTACGCACCTGTTGTGTTTGTGTTTTTTCCTTTCCCCCTTCGGTCGATTTTGTTTCCTTTTTTTTCTTCACTTTTCCGTTTTGTGTAAATGTGGGACCCGCAGAGACGCATAAAAAGGAAAAAAACAAAAACAAAAACAAAAACAAAATAGAGAAAGAGAGAGTAAAAGGCGGGGATCGCTGTTTCTGTTTGTGTATGCAAGTAACCCACAATCAGTGGCCCTAAAATATATATATATATATATATATATATATATGTTCATTACACAGAGCTATAGATATGCCCATGTAAACTCATATTATTGCCATACAAAAGGAAGGGGGATACGGCAATGCACGGCTCAAAACGAGTAAAACACATAAATGTGTATAGAAAAATGTAAAGATATCATAAAATTTGCAATACGGAATCATCACCTTTCCTTCTCGCAGTCTAATCCTTCCTATATGTATCTTGGCGTTCTATTGCCTTCTCCCTCTCGAACCGTCTTTTCAGTTGTTGTTCGCCATTGCCACAGTCACAGTCAAAGTCACCGCCACCACTTTTTTTTTTTTTTTTTTTTCCATCCCCCTCTTCCCCACAGATGCCATTTTACGGTTTCATATTCGCGACGTAGAGCTACAAAGTACATGAGAGAAATAGACACACACAAAAAAACACACACACAGAGACATACATGTCATCCGTTTACCCACTGTGTACATTCTTGAAATAAGCAACACGGAGAAACACTGCGTGGCATGATGTGCGCCAGATTCTTCTCTTCCTGTTCCCTCCTGTCGCTGCGGTCGTTGATCTTTGCTCCGTGGGGGAAAAAAAAAAATCACAGAAAATAGAAAATGAGCAACGGAGTGTGCATACAGAGGAACAACAGCCTCATATGCAAAGCAAGCCAAAATCAACAAATCACAACGCACAGCTTGTCCCCATGCGTTTTCGTTTTCTTTCGCACCCTTTCCCCCTATGATGGTATCTCTCTTCCTCGTTATTCCCCCCCTCCCTCCCTTCTACGTTTTAAGGAGAGTGTATATATAAATATAAAATAATTTATTTCCTTTTGTCTCTATATGCATATATATATTTATATAAACTTTAAACCACAGACGCTATATTAAAATCACCTCGCCAATTGCGACGCCCTATGCCCTCCTGCGTGCATGCTCCTCCAGCACAGCCCAGCCGGGGTACCTGTAGCCGCCGAGTGACTTCTCCAGTGCAATCGCCACACCAATGCTGAGCTCGTCGTTGATCTCTCGCGAGACAATCTGCACCCCTTTTGGCAGGTGATAATCCAGCGGCAGCCGCCGCTCCCGCACTTCAGCAGGCGTCACGGTTGTGGCGGCGTCGCGCAGGTCCGCTGTCCAAATGGGAACGGCCGTGGCTGGCATCTGCAGCACGTTGAATGCAGCGGTGTATTGAAACTCCAGTGGCGTCAGCAGCGGCGTATGGTGGTGTGGGGCAGGACGGGGAAACGTTGGCGCCAAAATGACACCATCGTCGCCCAACAGATCCTCCAGCGATCGCTTAAAGGAGGAGATATCGAACTTCGGGGAAGGCATCCCAATATTTTTCGGGAAATTCTGGTCCATGGCCTCCATTATGCAGAGTAACAGCGCGGGAAGCGTGTGCTGCGAACGACGCACAAGCCACCGCAGCAGCTCCCAGAAAACATTGAAACTCGGGGACCCCTCCCCCATCAGCGCGGTAAACTTGACCTCCGTCGGATCCGACGTGAGCACATTGGTCCACATGGCAAAGGTATCTGAAAACGGCTTAAATGCAGCCGGGACCGCCCCGCCTGAGCAACGGCTTCGGTCGCGGAGGTTGACGTACACGACTTTGGCCCCGTATTCTCTCTCCAAGCATCGAGCTGCCAGTTCCACCGCCGCAAGCTGCGATGAAGAAGTGCGAACCCCGTTGATGCCAAAGTCCTCCAATGCGAAGACACGAAGAGGTTTTCCCCCTCCAATCTTTGGAATATCACGAAGCGGCGGTCGTGGAGGGTACAACCTCGGATCCTCAAGAAACCCACCGCGTGCGGCCACATGGCACAGCGGGGCGATGTCTTCCGCAAAACGACAAATAGGGCCCGTCGTCATGTAGTGATTTGCGGCCGTCTTGGGTGCCGGATGCTGCCCACGGTTGGATATATAGTGCGGACTTGCCTTGTGGCCGAATACACCGTTAAAGAGTGCCGGCATACGTATGGAACCGCCAATGTCACTGCCGAGACTAAACGTTGAAAAGACAGCCCCGGCGGCTGCTCCCTCACCTCCGCTGCTTCCACCCACCAGACAGCGAGTATCGTACGGATTACATGAGATACCGTAGACATAATTTGAGCTCTCATACCACATACAGAGTTCACTTGTGTTGGTGACACCAAGAATGATGGCGCCAGATTCACGGAAGTTCTTCACCACGGGACTATCATTCTTGGCGATGATGTGACGCCTGTTTGGATGACCGCTGGTGTTTGGGCAGCCTGTGACGGACATACACTCCTTGATAGTGCACGGCACACCAAGTAGCCAACTCGGTGCCGGCCTCGAGCGGTCGGCGCGCCACGCCGCCCACACGGCATCGGCCTCCACCGCCGCCTCAATGGCCTCGTCAAAGCACTCAAATACCATAGCATTGATATACGGATTGACACGCTTGATATGCTCAATGTACGTCCGCACAACATGCTCACAACTCAATTCACCCAAACGGTACGCTTTACTCAGCTGCACCGCTGAGAGTTGTTGACAGTATGCAATTGGCGAGGGTGGCACCTGTCGCGATGTTTTCGGCCCAGCCATCATATATACTTCAAAGATTTTGTTCGCCAAATAGGCGTAGAAGATCAATAATACCATGGTGAAAAGAATTCCATAGAAATAACATACCAGACACGCCACAGCCGCGGCAAAAAGAACAGAGCGTCGTATTATCATTGCGCCGTGCTACCCCTTTTGTTCTCTCTCTCCCTCTCTCTCTCTCGGGATAGATATATGTAATATATTTGTGTAATTTGCTTTATTACTGTTTTCAGGGAAAATACTAATATCCGTGTATATATGCATACACACACAATAAAAAGAAAAGGAAAAAAAAAGGAAAAAAAAAAGGGGGTTCATGTACCAACGCAAACAAATACATGTATACATGTCTGGTATGTCACAAATATGAGAGAACTGCAGAATATGCGGACGGGAAGCGTGGCTGAAAGAAAACAAAACAACAAAACAACAACAACAACAAAAAGGACTACAACATCCCCCGCCACGGAGAGAATAAAAAAAAAAAAAGAATCGGCGCGCGACTGGGGAAGATGGGGGTGGGGGGCGGGAAGAAAAGACGCATTCAACAGACAGTCATCCGTGACGCAAGCGTCATGCGTCCTCCACACACACACGCCCCCCTACCATCCCTTAAAAAACAACAACAACAACAACAACAAACTCTCATCCTCCTTCTTCCTCCACCAACAACTCATTCACGCCCCGCCAGTATTATTATCATTATCATTATTATTATTATCATTGTTATCATTTTTTATTATTTTTTATTTCCGCCTCATCTTATTTCTCTATGTTTTTTTTTTTTTTTTCTCTTTTCTTCTTCTGCCGCCTCTGCAGTCGGCGGTGCTTCCCACCCCTCCAACCCCATTGGCTGTGCGGGGGCTAGCGACGGAGCGTCAGCAAAAAAGCTGGAAATAATTTGCGCTCTCCCTCGCGCCCACCACACATTACCACCACCGCCACCGCCGCTGCCGCTACCAGTCAGCGTGCCATACACGTGTTTAAATGCGTGCGGTTCCTCCCTCCTTTTCTTCCTTCTTTTTTCTCTGCGCGGTCTGAGAGGAACTTCTCAGCCCTCCACGAAGGTGATGGGCTCACAGTCCGGCAGTCGTCGGTGCATCGCCGTGACGTGCTTCAGCGGAATCGCCACCAGATTAAGTGACCTCCAACTCAATTCGCCGTCGGCATAACGACGCTGCTCCACCGCGTTCTGCAGCAGCAGGTCGCCAAGTCCCATGTACGCGATGAGGGTCCCGACGAGAATGCGACGGTCCACCAGCTCCACCCGCAGCTCTCGGCCAAGAAACGGATGTGTCAACGCCTTCTCCGCTGCCTTGGAAGGTTCCGGAGGTTTCTGACCGCCACGCTGCTGCAGCGATCGCCCCTGCTGGGGCGCCAGTTCGACTTCCCCTTTGGAGTTCTTCTTGTTACCCGCCTTGTGGTTCGCCATCGTCAGACCCCACCCCTCTAAACCCCTAAACCCCTCTTTCTCCTCTAAGTGTCCGAGAATTCTTCCTCTTGCTGCCACAGCTGTCGCAGCGAAATACGCAGCATTCCAACAAGATAGACAGATAGATAGAGGGAGAGGAAGAAGAAAAAAAAAAAAAAATACATCAACGGAACTCAGACGGTAGGTGCAATAGACCTTTGCTCCGTGTGCATACGTATAAATAAATATAAATATTTTTCTTTGAGAGCAAAAGAAAAATTTCAATAAAAATAAATGCAACGGCCATAACATCAACACATGGCTGTAATATTTTCACTCAAAGGAGTTAACTGCAATGTCAAGAAGGGAGAAGGAGAGGCGGGGTAGCGGGTAAATGCATGACGACAAATAAAAAAAAGAAAAAAAAAAAATTCCTTCTTCTCAATAATAAATAATAATAAACAGTTCCTTCATGTTCTTTTTCCACAATTTCTTTATTTTCTTCACCCCACGTACAAAAATATTATATTATATTATATATATATATATATATATATATATATACGTGTATGTATTATCCCTTATTTCCACACCTCCTACTGCTTGTCTATTCACATGCATGGTTGTTTACGTAGAGAATAATGATACATATATACATGTACATATATATCCACCATCCACCATCCATGTATGTATGTATCCTTGTATATAACATATATATATATATACATGTATAATATGCCCTTCTCATTGTCAACAGCGGCGGGTGTTTATATGATAAATAGAAAACAAAAAAACAAAAACAAAAACAAAAACAAAAAAAGAAATTACAGTGAGCGTCAGGCAACATAAAACCATAATAAATATATAAAGATTATTACACCAACAAGTACTATTAGCAGAAAAAAAAAAAGAAAAGAAAAGAAAAAAAGGAAAAGACACATAAAAGTGAAGGAACTTTTCCAGCTTTCTGTGAGTATTATTACATCGCTCCTCTTTTGCCGTCCCCTCCAGAAACACAAGCAGGCATCTCAAAAGAAGAAGAAACAAAACAAAAAAAAAAAAAAACAAAACAAAACCCGCAACTACAACAACTACAGAAGAGAATGGGAGAGTGTCAATAGAAATGGCTGCTACCCTCCCCCCCTCCCCCCCCCTCCTTTCCCTCCCCTTCCCACTATTCTCTAAAAGACTCCACACTTCCGGCTTAACCGATGGCTTACGCACAGCGGAGAACACACACACAGACAGACAGACAGACAGACAGACAGACAGACGGGTGCAAAGGGAGTGCGTTGGGTGACGGAGACAATTTTATTGCTTCTATGCATGAAAGAATGTAAAAAAAAAATAACAGCAATAACAACAGAAAAATAAATAAATAAATAAATTCAATCGCGTCAGTTCCTCTGCCTCGCCCCCCTACTACTACTACTACTAATAGTGTTGCTCTGTCGCAACAATGCATTTTGAAGCCAAAAGAATCCCTCGTTAACACCCGTCCCCTTCAGTGCATTAGAGGCAAAAATATTAAACGGCCGATCGGCCATGAGTGTCGTGAGGTCAAGAAGATCAACCAATTCTGCCGCGGTCTTGGCATTTGGAAGATCCATCTTGTTGGCATAAAACAAAAATGGGATTTTCGCCCCATTTGTCTTGGGTAATTCCCGTGCAATGTCCGGGTGTTGCAGCATTAACTCAATTTCCTCCTTCACAACGCACAGGCGAAGCTCATCGCTGCTGTCCACGACGAATATAATCCCATTGATATTTTCATAGTACGTTTCCCACAGGCCGCGGAACTTCTTCGCCCCGCCCATGTCAAATACCGTGAACTTCGCCGATCCTTTTTCAAACACCTCGACATTGTAGCCGACTGTGGCGCTGATATGTTCACTCTGAAGCGCAGTCGGCTTGAGCCGATTGATGATCGATGACTTGCCGCTGTTATCGAGGCCGCAGGTGATGATGTGCAGTTTTGTTTTACTCTGCCCCATAAACCCTCCTTCCCCTCCTTCCTCCAATTACACACACACACACACTCTCTCTATATCTATATATATCTTTCTCTTTCTCCTTCTCCCTTCTCCCTCTTCCTTTCCTTCTTGGCTCGTGTGCTCTTCCTTCCTTCTTTTTTTTTTTTTTTTTCGCTTCTCCTAACCGCGGTGACAAATCACGCCCCCACCTACGCACATAAGCACAGACAGACAGACAGACAGAGAGGGAGGGAGGGAGAGAAGTTTTCCACGACACAGAGCAAACACACATAGAGGCATATAAACACATACGAGACATGCACAGACACATCTATCTGCCTGTCTACATATGTTTTCCTTGTTTTTTTTTTTTTTTTTAATTCTTCTTCTTCTTCTCTCTCCGTTTCCTCTCCTGCACGCACAGACCATCTCCTCCACACTACGGTGTGTGTGTATGTATGCGTTCATGATGTTTCCGTTGTGGTGTCACTGGGGGTGGGGTGGGTGGGTGGGTGGTTGGATGGACGCTTCAGCCTTGTCTTGAGATCAAACAACACACACATAATACACACATACGTGCAGACAGACAGACAGACAGACAGACAGACGCACCCACAAAAAACAAAAAACAAAAACAAAACAAAACAACAACAGACAATACAGATCCATTCAAATCAAAAGAACATAAATTACATACATGTATACACTTATCAGCTTCAAAGAAAATAAAATAAATAAAATAAATAAATAAATAATACATACATGTAACCTCATGAGCCAATACATACATGTATATATATATATATATATATATATATATATATATAAGCATGTCTGTCATGCATGCATCTGCAAATAAAAATAAATAAATAAATAAATAAATAAATAAATAAGAAAAAACAAACAAACAAAATTACCATACCACTGGTTGCACAATTAAATGTAAAACAAACAACAACAACAACAACAACAACAACAAACAACAACAATAATAATAAGAGGGGTAAGAAATAAAGCCAATATTCCAACCAAAATCAAAAAACAACAAGGAGAAAAATCAACTATACAACAAAAACAAGAACAGCTGCTACTGAGAGCCACACACACACACACACACATAAATACATGATTATTGAAAGTAAAAATAAATTGGTGCAGGTAAAAAAAAAAAAAAAATACACACGCTACATATTTTATTCTCACTTTTTCAAGTTGGGTGTTTTATTTTGCTTCAATGTGTCTGCAAGATCGTGGTAGCTCTGTCTTTACAGAGCTGAGGTTCCCCCTAAGACCATTTTATCGGAAACTACCCTCTTTAGAAAGGGTAGAAATGTTCCAACATCGGGAAGGGATAAAAATTCCGCACAGGGACCCAACTTATCCTGTTGAGACATCAAAGAGACAGCACTGGGGGTAGTTCTTTCTTCTGCGACAATTAAGGCATTGTAATGCACAGGGGAAAGATAAGAAAGAAACACATCAATGGGTTCTGAATGTCCTTCAAAGACAAAAACACTTTCATCGTCCCTTAAAACAGTAAAACGGTTTCCTACACAAACAGCCGTATTGAGATCCATATCGGAAGAAAATGCCGATGTCTGAGCAGCCGGAAGTGTCGAATCACATGCGACGGAAGGCGTAATTCCACCAATCTCGCCATGCAGCGGAGAAACCAAAAGAAAACTCGAGTCCATTTTTGGCAATGCATTGGAAACAGTCGTTGTGATAGGCATATTTAAAGAGGGTGTGGATTCCACCTGTTGCTGCGTACTTGGCGAATTCTCAACGGGGGTTGGATGGGCTAGGAGTAGAGTGATGTGATGTTTCCCTTTGTTTTCTACACTTTCGGTTCCAACGGAGCATAACCTGGCAATTTCCTGCGAGACGGTCCGCAAATGCGTCGATTGAAAAGAACCGCCCACGGAACTCTCCTCGCCGCTTTGGACCGTAAAACTTAAATCCAAGTACCCACCAGCTCCACCCTTATTTGCAGCATCCCCGGTCATCGCCACTGCCGGAGCTTCCACTGCCGCAAAGAAAACGTTTCGGTTCGTACTCTCAGGGTACTCACCGGATGCAAAACTGTCCCGTTTTGGGGTTGCGGCTGCTCGAATGGTTGATTGAGTCAATTTACGCTGCAGAGAACGCTGAAGGGCGCATGCATCCACAATAACTTCCTCCTCTTCTTCCCCATTTTCATGATTCTTTGTGTTCTGCGTTGACGCCACTGGTTTACGTGACTTAAGTGCAGTGAGCTGAACGCCTCCAGATTTCCTGCTGCACGCACAACCCCCCCTTCTTCTTCCTCCTCCTCCTCCTTCTTCTGCTTCTGTTTCTACAACTAATGCTCCCATTCCGCCCCCGCCACCTTTTCCCTCTTTTACAACTGTTGCCGTTTGCGTCAAATGACTCATGTTAGCATTGCCCTGGAGATGCCGTTGTTGCCGAAGAGTGGCAACATCCACCAGGAAGGCAGGTGGTAACGGAGAGTCTGCACCTGGACGGTATGTAATGTAAAAGTTCTGCTGCTCCGATGACAAGACGTGAATGTTTATGTGCAGACTATCACTTGCCGCGCGAAGGGTGAGTTCATCACCCCATGTACCACTTTTAAGCATTCTGCCGTAGTAGCCGTCTGCCTCCTCCTTGTTCGCAAAGTAGCAGTCAAAGCGTTCTCGAACACCCTTCATGTATGTGAGGACGTGGACGCGGATAATTTCATGGAGGTCCTCTGAGCCCAGCAACTGCTGCGCCAGAGCGCGAAACTGACAGTTTCCATCACCCTTCACACGGTGCTCCACGAGTTTGAGTTCAAACAGACGCTTCTCCAACCTCTGCGTGCCGATGCGAATAAAATGCTCACGTGTTAGCAAAGGGGCTTCATCGGTTTGTGGTTTCACATTGGAGTTGCTTCCGGACAAGCAGCGATTCGCCTCCTTTTCCTCTTTATCCACCCCAACGGACCCGCTGCTACGGTTGACCACGTTTTTTTTTGAGTCCTTGCGAAAACCTATGAAGGACCTCCGTTTTTTGCTTGTCTCAATTGTAAAAAATGATTCCTGCTGGGCGGCCCCCTCCTGAGACTTCGTCAGGGAGAGTTCGCGCGACTGCGGCGATGCGGGTTGGGGAGTTTGGTTTATGGCTTGAAAGGTTACTGGATGAAAGCTGACTGCGGAAGAACCTTCCCATTTCTCAGTCACTCCCTTGGACTCCTCGCCAATGGATGCCACTGGCGTCATGTCAACACCACTTCTGTCCATATTGGGCAATGCAGCAGAAATGGCACTAGGCGTTGGGGCCTCCAGTTGCTTTGTATCCATTGGGGTATTTTCGGCAGCGTTGTCGCTTAATTTATTTGGGGGCTTCTTGGCTTCATCTATGGTACACGGCGTCACTTCCTCTCCGGTATCACCACATCCGCCGTAGTGCTTCTGAAACTCGGAGACAATCCTTTTACGCACATCTCGCGTTGTGAATGGTGTTACAGGGACAACGGGGGTCAATGCGTACTTACACCCATCCGAAATTGGGCCCGCGGCCCATCCATCTTCTCCCCACTCCATGTCATTTGCCCCCGTGCGGATGGTAAGTTTGGGATGTCGCAAATGCGGCAAACATTTCCGCCCCGCTTCTTCTTCTTCCTCCTTCTCCCTCTCTAGGCCATTCGGGGAGACGGCCACGTAATTTGCTATGGGCTCACCACACTCAGCATCCGCAGCCCCGCCATCGGCGTTCTCTGAAATCAGTGTGAGTTGAGATGGAATAGAACCCTTCGTTAGGCATGTTTGGCTGGAGGAGCAGCCACCCATGTGCCCTTCCTTTTTTTTTTTTTTTTTTCTTTTTTTTTAAAGGGGGTACACGCAGCTGTAAGTTAAATAATATTAAACGGACGTAATGCAACAAAATACGGAGAGTCCCACTCTCTTTTCCTTCCTTCCTTCCTTCCTTTACTACTCCACAAAACAGGGATGCACACGACGGCTAATACACTTCACCCACTAATGGAGCGAGTCCTAACGGTCTCTCTTTTTTTTTTTAACGCAGTAAATTAAATTAAATAAAAACAATTCACTCTTTGTATTGATTATAATATATATATATATGTATGTATATGTTTTTATTTAAAAGAAGAGAATCGCGAGCCCCTGTCGATCGTCTTCTTTATTGTGTAAGAAACAAATATTCACAAATGGGGAACAGAAGAGAAGTAAAAACAAACAAAAAAAAAAAACATGCCCGGCATGAAAAGATAATGACATGACATTACAGAGAGAGACAGAGAGATGCATGAATGGGCGGTGTGGAGAAAATTCGACGCCAACAGGCATATTCAACCTCCTTTCCTTTTTTTTTTTTTTAATTTTTTTCTTTTTTTCCGTTTTAATTTCCGTTCACATTTAATTCTTTTCCTTTTTTTCTTTTTTCTTTTTTCTTCATGATTTTGTTTGTTATAACAACAACACCAACAATAACAGCGAGCAACCAACCAAGGCTGCCTTCTTCTTTCCTTCTCCTGCGTCCCAATGAACGTCGGCCTGTGCACGCATCTATTAACCGTTTCCTCCGTAATCCCTTCTTAATATGTGTATTTGCATGTACACTCACACACAGGCGCGTGTGTAATATTTTATCCATTTGAAAATACCGTCCGTCTTTCAGTCGCTCTTCCCAGTGAAGAGGAGTGACGGCAACAAACGTCCCTTTTTACACACACACACACACAGACACAGACACACAGACACACAGACGCAAACTGCAGGTTACTCCGTCTCGTTGTCATCACGAAGCCACTCCTCCTCAAAGGCGTGTGTGATGGCGCTGCAAACAGCCGCCGCGGACATCCCCCTGTCGCTGATGCGGATGCTTTTCACCTGCCCTTTCGGAGCGTACGGCGCCTCAACATCGCCCCTCGACATGCCACCAATAATGAACGCAAACGGATAAAACTTCCGTGCCTCGGCGGCCTCACTGTGGTGCTGCGCAAAATGGGATGGCGCGGCCTCACCTGCAGCAAATGTCTCCACTTTACGCTTCTTTGTGGCGTCCCCGTCGGCAACACCGCATGTGGCGCAGAAGGCGTAGAGATCAGGGACACTGTCTCCGTCCCGCTCCACGCGAAACAACGTGCAGTTGGGCGGTATGTGGTCTGTGACAGGGTTCCTCACCACACGCAGCAGCGAAATATGCCCATGTGCCGCCCGCACCTTCATCTTGTACAGACACGCCACCATCATCTTTTCAAACAACCGAATATGTCGTGGCACACGCAGGCGTGGATCGACGGCAATGACAACGCCTTTTTTTGTCCGCAGGAATACTTGCAAGAGACCGGCACGGTTCAGCGGGGAGTCCATAAGGTGCAGGAGAGCCTGATGCACCACGTCTGGTCGCCACTCAGCAGGGTCTTGCTTGTTGCGTGCGTGATACTGCCGGTGCTTCTCGGACAGCAGCTCGAAGCCGTACTCCGTGCGCACGACGGCGAGGGGGCAGTGTTCGAGAACGACGATGACACGCCGCCACCGTGACTTCTCTTCGGCTGACTTTGGGAGCCGCGCCGACTTTTGCCTGTACTCCATCCACCCTACCACCTACCGCGGCCCCCGCCCGCACCACAACTCGCTGATCGGCATGCATGACGCATCGCCAAACAACACCGTGTGGTCCAACCAGCACCACCAGCAGCAGAAGTAACAACAAAAAAGAAAAAAAAGGGAGAAAAAAACCTGTTAAAGAAGACGCATCCCACAGCGGTAACGGCAAAGGCAAAAAAGGCACCACACACCTCCTCTCCCCTCCTTCTCCCTCTCTGTACCGCCTTTCCAAACCACAACGCTGCCCTACCGCTCAATCTGAAACGTCTCCTTCTCTCTGCCCTTGAAGCAGAGCAAAATTTCGTTAATTGTGTCCCCACGCAACATGTCGCGCGCAAACGTCGCCTCCGCCAAAAAACCAACCATCCCGAGCGCCCCCACAACGACTCCGCAGATTACATTCGAATACCACAGCCGCTCCCGCAAGGGGCCTTCGGGCAGCTCCACGAAGAGCGCCAGCGGATTCTCGGCAAATTTAATGGAAAAGGCATCCGTGCCCACCTCCCGCAATGGCTCTACTGTCGCTGTGACGTTGAGAAACATGCGCAGCCCTACCAACGCAACAGCGTCCGCCGCCTGCGCAAACGTTCGACACGCGGGAACGCCACTTCGCACGCTGTACTCCTCAATAAGCCGTGATCCAATACGGCGTCCCATTGCGTCCAACTGCTGGTTGACCACCTCCACATCTTCCTCCTGCACCAGGTCGGCAACCATCTGCTGCACCAACGCACCATACGTGATCGCAAAGAACTCGGCACTCACCTTTTCGCCACTCTCAAAGGCCTTTTCCCCTTCATTCGAGAAATTTAACGCCCCCGCGGACATGCTTTCTTTTTTTCTTTTTTCGTTTCGTTTTTTTCCCCCTTTTTCTTGGTTGTGTTTTCCTCTTTGTTTCCGCTGCAACTGCTACCACAGACTGAAAAAGAATAAAAACCTCAATTCCTTTCCTCCACACGTATAAAGTGCCAAACACCCAAATAAAAAAGCAAACAGGAATAACAATAATAATAATAATAATAATAAAGAAAACACAAACACACTAGCAACTGCAGCGGCAGCAGCAGAGTGGTCGTCGCATATTTACATTATATATATATATATATATATATATATATATATATGCCTGTTTGTGTTTCTCAGATTCCTTCCTGCCCCGGTACGGTGTGGCGTTGCCGCCGGCGGACCAGGCAGTCTACTGTACATTCCACACACCCCTCGTGAAGCACAAAACAAAAACAAAACAACAAAAACAACAACAAAAAAAAGCGTTCCCTCACTTTTTTGACCTCCCCCTTTTCTTTGAACTGCCTTGCGCCTTCTGGAACTTCACACGAGCCATGTACGCGCGAAAAGAGGCTTGGATGGTTCGAGTGTTTTCATCCATGGCCAACTGCATTTCCTCATAGTGTCTGTCACGCATCGATTCAACAAATTTCTCTAATTGATACTCGTTCTTTTCAGTACGTAAAACGCCAAGTTCTTCATCAAGCGCAACAATAGCCTCTGTGTCTTCTTCTGTCTCCTTATTGAGGGTCGCTGTGGCCGCTTGTAGTGTTGACATCTGCACATCATACTCCGTGATCGCAGCACTCACGGCAGCCTCTTTTTTGGCCCGTTGCGTTCTTAATGCGTTTGATTCCTCCTGATTCCGGTTCACCAATGTTGCCAGCGTTTCTTTATTTTTTTCGGCGAGCTGCTTCACCTCCTCCAGGTGACCCACATCCTGCGTCTGGCGCTCTCCCTGCAGTTGTTGATTTACTTCAAGAAACGCCGACAGTTCCATGGCGACAACGCTACGTGTATAATCAATTTCTTCCTCTAGCCGTTGTATCTCCGTTTCGAGGGCCTCCACTTCCGTCTTGTGTGATTCCTTTGTTTCTTGGTACTCCCGCTTCAGGGCCTTGACATCTGCGGAAGCGGTCTTTTCTCTATTCACCGCCTCGTGCAGGATCCTGTAGTTGCGGACATCCTCGTTGACTGTCGTCTTGTTACGTGCCATGACGAGGGAAAGGAGGGTCTCCATGGCGTTCTTCAGCGCCAATACACCGGGGTCGATCAGGTGCGCCAGGGAGGATTCCGCCTTCGTGACCAACAAATTGGCCCGCCGCTCCTGCAACTCCCGCACCATGGAGACATATTCATTCTCCTGAAGGGTATCCAGGATGGCACGGAACAACATATGATGTCGATTGAGGTCCGACTCCTCCACACTACCCGCCACTGTGGCCAGGTCCAATATTTCCTTCTCCAGTTCGGCAAACTCCGCCATCTGCAGCAGGACCTCGTTGCCGTCTACATCGGTTGGATCGCCGTGACGCTCTGCGACGCCGTAAATGAGCTGCGCCACACGTACGTCATCATCTTCTTCTTCCTCAACTCCATCTTCCACGCCGCTGCTGAGTTGGCTGCGAACGGTTTCAAGGCACACCTTCCGTGTCCATGGGCTGAGGCTTGTCGGCAGGAGCGAGACGAGCTCAAGATCCCGCACAAGATCCCGAAGAACAAACTCAATCTTGTCGGCCTGGCGCCGCGTCAGCGCATCCATGTCCATTGCTCCCACCCACACACCCGAGGTTCTTATAAACACACCACTTTGTCTGTCGGTGTGCGGCGCGACACCGACAAAAAAAAATAATGCCTGTCCGCTTCCTTGACCCCCACTCCCCCCCGAAAAAAAAAGGCAAAAACAATAAAAAACAAAAAGAACCACGATGGCTTACAGGGACTGCAATGTACACAACATGAGGTATAAACCATACTTCCGTGGATGCCCACATTAAAATTGTACAAACATCACATATTCATCGATGCATAAAGACACAAAAAGTCCACATACACATGGATATAAGTATGAATATTTGTGCCTGTGGAACTTTTTTTGTTGGTTTTCTTTTCAAATAATAATAATAATAATAATAACAAACACAATAACAACAAAAGGACGCCCCGCAGAATAAGAATAAGAAAAAAGAAAACAACAACAACAACAACGCGCAAACAAACATACAGTAAGAACAAGGGCATAACAATTCCGTAATGGTGGTCTCTGTGTATATATTGGGGATGGGGAATACGCAACGCAACAACAACAAAGAAGTGGCGCCGCAAAGAAAAGAAAAAAAAAAAAGAAAGGAGGCGTGGGTGTTGGTGGGAGGCGGAGAAAAGACATCGGAAAGACCCCCAAAAGGGGGAGAGAAGAAATAAATAAATAAATGACGGACCGCATGCACATAGACAGAGCCCCCCCCCTCCCCATGCATGCATGCATGCGTGTATAAAAAGGCTGCCCCACGCCCGACCCCGTCACCGCACAGTCCTTTCCCCAGGAGGAGTGGACATCATGCAACAAACATCAAAAAGAGGTCGAGAGGCAAAGTAGCGGAAAAAGATGATAAAAAATTGCGTAAGGCCGGTCAAAAGTACAAAATAATAATAATAATAATAATAATAATAATAAACACACAAATAAAACAACTCTCAACGGTTTATAAAAAAAAGAAAAAGAAGAAAAAGAGGTGCAGGCAATATGTGTGTGTGTGTGGAGGGGGTTTGCCGCCCACCACCACCCCCTCCGTGTGTCGTGCCCCGCCGTTGGGTGCTTCTTGCCAATCAAAGGGACGGAGGGCTGGACGGAAACGTCCATGAAGCTTACATGCACGCCCACGCATTTTTACACGCAACACACTTCCAATAAACTCATTCCTTCCTTCCTTCCATTTTTTATTTTTATTTTTAAAGAATTCCAATCGTCTTCTCGTGTTATTTCCCCCCCCTCCTTCCCCCTCCTCTTCCTTTTCCCTTCCCCACCAACGGACACATAAACTCTCTATCTTTCGCTGCCATTTCCCACTTCCCACTTCACATATCACCACTACCAACACCACCGCCCCTTTAACTCACTCTCTTCATTCATCTATATTATTTTCCCTTCCTCCTCCTCCTCCTCCTCCTCCTTCCATTTATTTATTTATTTTTATACTCGCTTTTATATAAACTGAAACACACACACACACACACACAAATCAAAGCATACGCACACGCACATATAAATATATATATAAATATAAATATGCATTTCTACATATTTGTGTGTATACACCGTTCATAAATACATCATCTTCCTTCCTACCTTTCTTTTTATATATAAATATGAATATATAAATATTTTAATTTTCATTTTTTGTTGTTTTTCCTTTTTTTTTTTATTTTTATTTTTCTTCTTCTTCATCTTCATCTTCTACATCCATTAAAACAAACATGATTTTCTTTCCTGTCTTTTGTAAAATAAATAAATAAATATATTTATTTTAATGCCATTCAATTCTGTGGCACTCTCTACTCTACCTGCCCCCCGCACCCTTTTTTTTTTTTTTCTTTTTTTCTTTTTTTTTCTCCCCTCTCAACATGCGACGGTATGGCACCAACTTCAGCTCCCGCCTCTCTCTCTCTTTTTCTCTCTTTCTCGCCCTGTGTGTCTGTTCGATCATCTTTTTTTTTATCCCTGAGGCACGTTTTTGCATTAAATTACCGTCACTGCCGTTGTTTTGTTCTTCCGTACGCACCAAACGCCTTGCCTTCACGGGTGGTGGGAAGAAATGAAAGGAGCGAAAAGGCCTTTTATTCATTTGACACCCGCCCCGCCCCCCCCTTTAAACGCACAAATAAAAGAAGAGGGCCGGTGCCTTTCTTTCTCTCTCCATGTCGTCAACGTCGGTTTTTTTTTTTTTTTTTTTGTTGTTGTTGTTGTAAAGAAACTCGTGTAAAAAAAAAAAAAAAATCAATTCAGCAGGGAGCGTATGAGCACATATTACAAGCAACACCCCCCACCAAAAAAAAAAAAAACAACAACAACAACCACAACAACCACAACAATAATAAGTGCGTGTATATTTTTGCATAAAAGAACCAATGAATTTACCACTCCATCTGCATACATGTATTACCGTTACCTTTTTTTCTTCTTTTTTTTCTTTTTCTTTTTTTTCTTTCCTTTCCTCCTTTGTGCTACATATGTGCCAAACAAACAGTTTATATTCTTTTCTTACTAATTAACTCGCCTTTTTTTTCTTTTTTTTTCCTTCCCCACCCTTTCTCTCTTTCTCTCTCTCTCTCCACAATCGTGCCACCGCCTCCCGTTCGTCACACTCAGACAGACGCCAGTGATCCAATGGTGTCCACCTCTTTTTTTGAAAATTCATGCGTCGTGAGACCGACACAATGGAGTGAGGCGCTCGACATGCCAAGGACGGACTGCAGTAGTTGCTGCGTTTCCACGTTGTTGTTTGCCTTCGCCCTGCGGCTCAACTCGAGAAA